AATGCATGTTTCCCAGTGGCCTGGTTTGGGAAGCACTGGGACTCAAATGAATATGAATATGAATGGTATTCCTCTCCACGCCATTTTGCAGGTCAGGAAAGAGGCTGAGAGGGGTTTGTGTCCCCCCCCCACACACACACACATACACCTGCTGGAGGATCGATCCTCAGCCTCAAAGAATCTCCAGGGTAGAGGGGAAGTCAAAAATGGGAGCCAAAGGAGGAGTAGGAAGGCCTTTTATTTACACCTGGACACAGAGTGTGTGCAGACTTAGCAAAAGGCTGGCAAAGAGAGGGGAAGAAAGTCAACGAGCAGCGTGCCAGGCCACTCACATCCAGCCTGACCTGACCCAGGAAAGGACCTGGGTGGCCCCTTCCCCTCCAACCTCTAGAAGTTTTCCTTCAGTCCTTGGGTCAACGCTTATTAGGCACCCACTCTCTGGCAGGCATGTGTTAAGCACTGGAGACATGAAATATCCAGGCTGCTCCTACATCCGATGGAGAATTCTCACATGAAACAGGTGGATGCCAGGAGGGATGCATCCAGAGGGTGTTAAGAGCAGAGAGGAGGGAACACCACTTGGCTTAGGGAGACGGGGTTCAAGACTGGCTTCTTGAGGGGCGCCTGGGTGGCTCAGTTGTTGAGCATCTGCCTTTGGCTCAGGTTGTGATCCCAGGGTCTTGGGATCGAGTCCCACATCAGGCTCCCCACAGGGAGCCTGCTTCTCCCTCTGCCTATGTCTCTGCCTGTCCCTCTCATGAATATATAAAATCTTAAAACAAAACACTGGCTTCTTGGAAAGCAGAGCATCTTAGCTGTCTTAAAGGACTGCACAGTAGAATATGACAAGTGATATGTAGGGCTTACAGGGGTGACAATGGAAGAGTGCTCTAGACAGCGGAGAGAGCGTGAGCAAAGGCCAGGAGGAAAGACCCTTCAGAGGGTAGGGGTGGTATAAGGGCTGGTAATGAAGCCCATGAAAGCTACTGGAGACTGATGTTTGTGGCAAGGATCTGGGGGCTGGAGTTGGGGTGGTACTGAGCCAGCAGGGAAGGCTGGAGACAGCCCACTTCTCCTTAGCAGGTGGGGCCTGGTCCATGTTGCCACCAGGGGCCTTCCTCACAGGAAAAGTGCAGAGTTGAGCTTATGTTCTCTTGGGTGGGGTGCTCCTGGCAGCCATCAGGTATCCACCATATGCCAGGCATACTGTGTCTGAGGTTCCCACAAAAATCCCCTCCCTTCTACCTCCAGCCTGAGCACACCATACCTCCCCCTAGGGTTCAGGGTTCTTCCCTAGGTTCCTGCCACCTGGTCCTGCTTCTGATCCCTCCCCTCTGTGGGATAACATGATGAGATGGATGGACACTGTTGTTGCCAGCATCCTTTGGCCCCTACCTTGACCCTTCTGAGTTCAAACTTGGGGTAACATGGAGGAAGCAACATCTGTGGTTTTGGTTGGGTTGCCACGTGTCACTCACCTCTAGTGGGAATCAAGGAATTAAAGCCAAACAAAGCCACAGGAGCAGTTCCTGGCGGGCTCAGTTGGAAGAGTGTGCAATTCTTGATCTCAAGGTCATGAGTTTGAGCCCCACGTTGGGTGTAGAGATTAAACAAAAAAAACACACGCGACAGCTACAGGACAGATTTGTAGAATGTAATGTTATACAGCCAGTGAATAAGTAATTTTTGCACTTTGAGTAACTTTTGCGTTTTGAAAGTACACAACAGGGACACCTGGGTGGCTCAGTGGTTGAGCCTCTGCCTTCGGCTCAGGGCGTGATCCCGGGGTTCTGGGATCAAGTTCTACATTGGACTCCCCGCAGGGAGCTTGCTTCTCTCTCAGCCTATGTCTCTGCCTCTGTCTCTCATGAATAAAATCTTAAAAAAAAAAAAAAGTACACATGGGGCAGCCTGGGTGGCTCAGCAGTTTAGCGCCACCTTCAGCCCAGGGCCTGATCCTGGAGACTCCGGATTGAGTCCCAAGACAGGCTCCCTGTGTGTGGCCTGCTTCTCCCTCTGCCTGTGTCTCTGCCTCTCTCTCTGTGTCTCTCATGAATAAATAAATAAATCTTAAAAAAAAAAAAACACCACAACAATAGGGATGCCTGGGTGGCTCAGCTGGTTAAGCATCTGCCTTCTGCTCAGATCATGATCTCAGGGTCCTGGGATCAAGCTTCATACCCAGCTCTCTGCCCAGTGGGGAGCCTGCTTCTCCCTCTTCCACCCCTTGTGTACTCTTTCTCAAATACAATCTTGAAAACTAAAAAAGTTAAGAGTAGACTTGAATCCTGACTGCTCAATTAAACACCTTCATGATCTTGGACAAGTCACTTAATCTCTTCTCAGTTTCCTTATCCATACAATAAGGATAATTCATACCTATTTATAACATTATTATGAGGATTATGTGAGTTCATGTTTGCCATGAACATTTCATTTGCCATGAACAGAGGCTGGCATATAGTAAACACTATGTGTTGTTAAATAAAAGCATTGCTTTGATTAAAAAAAATGCAAAAAAGATTAATTTAAAAATTACCCAAGTCATACAGGAACACAATCTATTTGTAAGGAACAACTTGGACATTTTTAAAGCGAAATAATCCCTGGAGACAGATTAGTTTACAGCCTGTCTGGATTCACAATAAAAATATTTGAGTCTAAGGCAGCAGCAGGAAGGCATCAGAAGTGTGTGGGTGGCATTCTAGGGACAGTCCCCTCCCTGGTCTCTCCACAGTGGGGGAAAGGGAAGGGATGGGGTTCACAGACATGGATTATTCCAAAAGCACTGGCTGATCTGGCACCCAGGAGGACGCCTCTAGCATATTTCTGCTGTGAGGCACATGTTAAGCCCTGAACAGAAAATGCTGACATTTTGGCTTGCTTGCCATTTGGGTTTTTGAAATACTAAAAAGCTTTTGAGGACCCTCAGGACTATCACTGTGATTTCCTAGTGGCCTAGGAACTGCAAATGAAGAGCCTTTTAGGAAAGCAAATACCCCTATTAAATTCAGATGTGGGGATAGCTGGGTGGCTCAGCAGTTGATCCTCTGACTTTGGCTGGGGGTATGATCCCAGGATCCCGGGATCGGGTCCCACATCGAGCTCCCTGCATGGAGCCTGCTTCTCCCTCTGCCTGTGTCTCTGCTTCTCTGTATGTCTCTCATGAATAAATAAAATCTTAAAAATAAATTCAGAAGTGGGGATGTCTGGGGGCTCAGTGGTTGAGCCTTTGGTTCAGGGCGTGATCCCGGGGTCCTGGGGTTGAGTCCCACATCAGCTCCCTGCAGGGAGTCTGCTTCTCCCTCTTCCTATGTCTCTGCCTCTCTCTCATGAATAAATAAAATATTTTAAAAATACAGATGTGGATTTCAACCAACACGTGCTTGAGGGTATGAGGATGGTTCTAGTATTACAATAGCACCCCAGGAGGAGCTGGTAAGGGTAGCTGCCTCCTTGTCGGCTCCCAGATGGGGAAGGGTTCAGAGATCTATCCATGTGGCTAACCAGAACAGCTCTGCTGTCTCCTTGTACCCCACATTCACCTTCTCAGCATTTCTTGACCTTAGCCCAGGAAGAATGAAGATTGCAGGGGGTGGGTGGGTGGGGGTGGTGGGGAAGTGGGGGTGGGTGGTGGGTGGGTGTTGGAATCTAGATTGAGACATTTGGATATGAAAAGACCTCTCCTGAACACTGGAAAGGTGTTCCTTGGAAAGGTGAATCCTACCTATCAGCATGCTCAAGGAAAACAAGAATGACTGGAATTGGTGCTGAGTGAAGACTCCAGAAAGGAAGGTCGGTAAGAAACCACAGCCACAGCTTGCTTAGAGGAGCCAATGCCCCAGCCTGAGAGACCTTGAGCATATACCCTCTACACCTATTGCAGTCTGGCCCTGCCCTGACCCCCAAATGACCTCTCCTGACCGGAAACTAGGATCACTAATTTCTCTTCCAAGGGGCTGGGTGGGGATGGAATTCAGGCACACCCTGTGGGGTGCTGTTTGGCCTGGTTCTGGACTGCACTGCCCGAGGGATTCTCTCCCAGGACTTGTAGTATTTCCTCTTCAGAGTCAATCATTAACCTGAGAGCTCCTGCTAGAGAAGCGGGAGGAACAAGAGGCTGGCTGAAGCTGGAATGGCTGAGGTGGCTTCCCTAGAGGGGCCGAATCCCCAGGCCCACTCCTGCAGTTGCAAGGCAGTAGCCTGGAGGGGATCCAGCCTCTCCGAGGAAGGGCAGACACCCGCACACCCAGCCAGGCAGGTGGGATGGCGGAGGCCTGGACGTGGAAGCAGCCCCTTTGCTTTTGGGCAGTGCTACATGCTGAATACAGAGTGGGGTGTGCCCATCACTGGGAAGACAGCCTTCAGCCACACAGAGGAGGGCGTTGGGGTGGAGAGCCTCAGTTCCACATCGGCTCCAGACTGAAACACCGGCGGTCTGAGACTGCTCTGGACAGTAGGCCCTCAGCCTTTCTTCTTGAGATCAGCCTGGGTTCCACGGCTTAACCTCCCAGGCCCCCATTAAGCAACTGGGATAGAACACCCCTAAGCCATCTGTCTGTCAGGTGCCACTCTCAGCCCGGCCACCTGCAGGGGAGGAGCAGAGAGAAGCCACCTACTCCAAGCCCCCCCACTCAGGTCTCATGGCCTTTGGGAACACGTCCCTGGGCCCCTGAGGCTGAGCAGCCAGGACCAGCCGAGAAAACCAAGGCCAGGGGCCTCTGATGGGCTGGTCGCCCGCGGTGGGGGAAGCTGTGCATCCAGGTCAGGAATCCCCCAGCTCCGGAGGCTGCTGGGATGTGGGGGTGCGGGCACCCCAGCCTGGCTCGGAGCCCTTCTCCTGTGGCTGCGGGAACCGAGGGGGGGGGTCCGCCTGTTTCCTGGGATTCCCGGGGCCACCCCCGCACAGCACAGACCTCCGGGGGGCCCCCCCAGCCCCACCCCCGGCGCCCCTCCTCCAGGCCCAGCCAGCGCTCGGAGTCCAGGTTTATTGGCCGCACCTAGGCCTCCGCCTCCGGGCGCTGCTTGAGCGAGACCGAGGCGCCGCTGCTGACCATGACCGCGGGGTAGAGCGGCTCCAGGAAGGAGCCGAGGAAGCGGTAGAGCAGGCTCAGGCCGCCCGCCACGCCGTAGAAGGACAAGCAGCCCGCGCCGCAGTCGAGCGCCACCCCGAGCGTGCGGTGGTAGCCGCCGTGCAGCACCGTCTGCGCGTTGTCGTGCCACACGGAGAACCTGAGCGAGTCCCACTCCAGGCACCACGAGTAGGGGTTGCGGCCCAGCAGGTAGACGGTGCTGCGGCGCGGGCGGCCGCCGAGCGGGGGGCTGCGGCGGTAGGTGAGGCCCAGGCACACCCACGAGTTGGACACGTCGGCCTCCCAGTAGTGGCAGCCCTCGGACAGGCCGCGCGAGCACAGCACCTGCGGCCACTGCCTGAAGCCCGGGACGGGGCCGCCCGCGCCGAGGGGCTCCAGGAGGATGCCCAGGTTCAGCACCGAGTGGGTCTCCTTGAACAGGAACAGCTCCTCGCTGGCCGTGGTGGGGTCAAAGTTGAGGTTGCAGTAACCTGGGGGTCGGGGGGTGGCCGGGAAAGGGACCCCGGGTGAGCACCTTCCCCGGCCCTCTCTTTCCCCCCGGGTGCGGGCGGGAGGACACAGGATTGAGCCGGATTGACAGAGGGCCCAGGGCTGCCCGAGGGGGTGACTCAGGGATTCACCAGAGAGACCCCCCACCATATCTCAGGGAAGTCACTGAGATGTGCCTCCCAGTCCCCACCCCCCAGGAGAGGGGCTGCAGGAGCATCAAAAGAAAGGGGACTTTTGGGGGCGCCCGGGCGGCTAAGTCAGTTAAGCCTCTGCCTTCAGATCAGGTCATGATCTCAGGGTCCGGAGGTCTAGGCCCGCATCAGAGGGAGAATCTGCTTCTCCCTCTCCCTCTGCCCTTGCCCCCTTGCTCATGCTTGCTGTCTGTCTGTCTCATGCTCTCTGGGTATCTCTCTCAAATAAATAAATAAATAAACAAACAAACAAACAAATAAATAAATAAAATCTTAAAAAATAATAATAGTAAAAAAGAAAGACATTTTTGTATGAGGAAGAAATCATCCAAGCTGGCTTGGCGAAAACCCCGGGGGACACGGGCAAGCACTCAGGCAAGGGCAGAGGTTGTGCCACACATCAGAGCCCAGGGAGGGGGGCAAGCCAGCAGCTGGGCAATAGGCAGGTCCTTGCCCCACCCATGGGGGATAGTCCTTCTCTCCTCTCAGGACCTTGGAATCACAGGCTGAGTCCTTCTGAGATCTCCAGTCCCAAGGGGAAGGTCAGGGCAAGAGAGAGCTGGCATCTCTCTGGAGCCCTGGTCTGACTGGAGGTGGGGCTGGGGCCTCCTTTCCTTCTCACCCCTGGGTCTGGACCCCCGTACTGAGGACTTACATTTGAGAAGTATTTTCCTGTCCACAGCTGGGGGCAGCACCTCATAGGAGTTCATCTTAATGCCTGGGGAAGATGGAGGGGCTTTGCTGAGGATACTCTTACAGCCCAGCATCCTTGCAGAGAGAGGTGTGGGCTTCCAGGAGGCTGTGACACCTGGGGAAGGTGCACACGGGCAGGCAGGGCTCTCTACGAGTGCCTAGAGCCCCTAAGCACTGCCCTGTAGGGTGGTCCCACCCCAGAATGCAGGTGAGTCTCCAGTGGCCCCAGACTGCCAGGTACTGACCCTTCAGGAGAAGCTGATTGATGAAGCTGAGACCCACGTCCATCAGCCGGGTCCGGAGCTCCGCCAGAGTCTCTGGCAACTGGAGGAAGGTCTGTTTCTCCTCACAGTTGGTTCCCATCAGGGGTTCCATGCAGGCAGGGAAGTGCTTCAGCCTGGGGAACTCCTGAATTCGGGGAGTGGCCAGCAGTGCCACCTGTTAGCCAGGGCTTACGCAGAGGCCAGGAGCCCCTGCTTAGGCTAGGGTCCCCGGGGTCCCCAGGATCATGCGGCAGGTGGAGAAATTGCTGCTTTTCAAACCTAGACATCTCTCTCCCTTCCTCCTGGTTGTGATGTGAGATTAGGGCTTTGCCAAAAGCATGGCTGTTGTAGCCTAATGGTTTAACCAAAGTGTATTAGATAACAATGGGAGGGAAAAAAAAAAGAAAACAATGGGAGGAGGATTTCTTTTGAGCTTTTAGTTGCTTAGTGAAAAACTTTGCCAAAAGTTTCTTGGTATGTGTGTGCATGTGTGTGTGTGTGTGTGTGTGTGTGTTGGGGCAACTGTGAGCAACAGCTCTAGAAATCCCCGCCTCCCCCCAGCACATGACATCAGCTGAAGAAAGGAGGTCTATGCTCTGAATTCCCCAGCAACGGTTTGGGTAGCCCTGGGCCCCACACGGAGAGAAGGCTGCGGCCACCCAAACCTCTGCTGGCTACCCTGCCTGCTACCCTCTTGTAGCAGCAATGGGCTGGGGACTAGGCCAGGGCTGGGGAAGGAAAGGGGATTTCATTCCAGGCTATATGGATTGTTCTGGTCTCACTTCCATTCCTGGTCTGGGAGAGTCTAGAGAAACATAGACTGTGGCAGATGCCTGGAATCTCAGCGTCCACTCCCTTCTGTTCCAGGGAAATGAAGGCAGGAAGTTAGGGTCAGGCTGAGTGCTGAGGTGGAGGAAGAAGCCAAGGGTGCTGGTGTAAGCTCAGGACCAATGGCCTGGAATGGGGAGGCCCCCAGAGGCCAAAGAATGGACAGAGATGCAGCCCCAAATGCTGATCGCTTATCCTGGATCTGGGCAGATCTGGTGTGTCCGCGGGTGGAGGGGGAGTGGAGGCTCTATCAGAGCCCTAGGGCCTTGAAAGGGGTGGGTGGGCCTTGCCTGCAGAAATTGCTGGTCACTCCTGTTGGCAAGCAGGGTGCGGAGCCAGATGCTGTCCCCTTCCAGCTTCAGGAGCCGGTTGTGGCTCTGCTGGATGGAGCTGCCCAGCTTCCCCAGAGCGGCCGCCTCCTCTTTCTCCACAAAATCCAAGACCTTCATCTGCAGCTGTTTGACCTCCTGGATGATCTCTGAGAAGCAGGTGTTCACCTCATCACGTGTTGTCTGGATCAATTTCTGTGGGGGGTGTGCGTGGGGTGCATGGTGTGTCGAGAGGCATCTCCCAGCCCCAGCCTGGTTCCCCCACTGTTAGGGCGTGGAGCCTGCCTAGGCATCCGGTTGCTGACCACTGGGTTCCAAGCCCTGAGAGTGCCCCTCAGCCTGGTGCAGGGTGTGTGTGTGTGTGTGTGTGTGTGTGTGTGTGTGTGTGTGAAGCCGGGGCCTGGGAGAGGGTGGGCCAGCCTTACCGAGAGAAAGGCCACCTGCCCTCGGTGCTTCTGGCTGTCAGAGTTGATGATCAGCATCTGGTTTTCCACATTGGCCTGGACCTTCCGAACCTCCAACTGGGAGTGAGAGGAAGGAGGAGACGGCCCTTGATTCAGAGAGGTGGCCTGGGAGGAAACCCTCCTGCAAGCCCAGAGGAGACACGCTGCTGACGTCGCTAAGATGCCCAGAGAGAGAAAGACCAGAGCTGGAGGCCAGATGGCCCAGGACTACCCTTACTCCCTGAGACTCTCCCCCAATCCTTAGGAATCAGGTTCTCTGCTCCTGACAGTGATGACCACAGGGTTTCAGGTCACAAAAAGGGGCTGTGGAGGTTTGGTGGCTTGAGAGGAGGCAGTGGGTCGAGGAGGGGCACGTCAGATATGGAGCCCGGAGATACCTGGCCCAGGCAGCATGTGTCCCAAGTCCCTCTACAGAGCAGCCTTCATCTCCACCTGTCCCAGCAACGGGCATGTTCTTGTTTAAAACAGATGATAGAACTGTGTCATTCCAGGTGCCTGTCCATGAACTGTTGGTGGCCCACAACAAAATAAGAAGCTCAAGCCAGACTATCAGTCAACACACTGCTTGCTTTGTTGACAAAGTCTTGCTATTGAAAAAGCGTCAGCTGAGCTCAACTGTGGCGAATGGTTTATATTCCGGCCTGAGCTCCTGGCCGCAGACCGTCACCGGGTGGCCACATGGGAAGAGCACTCTTACTGAATACACATGATAGAATGTCTGAAATAGAAGTCCTCCACTCTAAGAAAAGCAGCACAAATATGTTGAACAAAATGTGAAAGGAGAGAAAAGGTGGGGATCTACCCCACCTACCATGACAGTGTTTTCTTTTAGACTTTCCTTCTTCTGTGCCAGAAAAAAATGAACATAGAACTCACGCATACAACGTCGGACCATTGTTCCTCAAACTCGCCAGCCCTTTCCCATGTCAGGGCATGTCCACCTTTATGACTGTCCCTCGGAGGGTTATGTAACTTCCCTCCAAGGACAGGTGTGCCCAGGCTTGGGAAAGACTTTCACACTCAGTGAGAGACTCAGAACCACGAGGTCAGGGCTCCTGCCCCCCACCCTGCCCCTCCCCCGATCCCTGCCTCACCTCCTTGCGGGCACGCTCCTCCTCCAGGGGGATGGTGTCGTGGTTCTTGTGCTCCTCCAGCAGACAGGCCCCGCACACGCAGCAGCCTTCCGTGCGACAGTACAGCCGCCGCAGCTTGCGGTGCTTCCGGCACAGGCGGCTCTTGAGGTCCCACACGGGCTCCAGCAGCTGGTGGTCCTGGAACACCTGGTCCTCGAAGTGGCTGCGCAGGTGCTTCTCGCACAGAGAGGCCATGCACTGCAGACACGACTTTACTGACTTGAGCTTCTGGGGTGAACAGAAGTCGCAGGGCACGTCCCGAGGCCCGGCCAGGATCTGTGAGGACCCCAAGGTCTGGTCCTTGGCCTGGGTGAAGCAGGTCACCATCTCCTCCAGGATGACATTCTTGCAGAGGCGGGGTCTGGATGGGAAGCTCTCTCGGCACTGGGGGCAGTAGAGGGTCTCGCCCGCAGTAGCCTGGTAGTCCCAGAAACCTTGGAGGCAGGTCATGCAGAAGTTGTGCCCGCAGGCGGTGGTGACTGGGTTACGGAACACCTCCAGGCAAATGGGACAGAGGACCTGGTCCTCGAATGTGCGGACACTGCTGTTACTCATCAGGAGCTGGGCTTGGGGAGGGGGCTGCAAGGTGGGGTTGTGGTCCTGGAGTGGCCCTGAGAAGACAGAGCAAGCCCTAAAGAGGTCAGGACAGGAGCTGAGGGGCCCTTGGGACACCTGGGTGACTTAGTGGTTGAGCATCTGCTTTTGGCTCAGGTTGTAATCCTGGGGTCTTGGGATTGAGTCCTGTATTGGGATCCCCTCAAGGAGCCTGCTTCTCCCTCTGCCTCTGTCTCTGCCTCTCTGTGTGTCTCATGAATAAATCTTAAAAAAAAAAAAAAAGAAAGGAACTGAGGGGCCTTTTAGGGGTACACCAGTCCTTCCCATAGAAGCACTTGTCTGCCCAGGGGGTACAGAGGGTGTGTCATCAGTCAGCCCACAAAGCGGGGCGTAACATGGGGATTGTCTTCTCTGTGTCGCAGCCCTAACTCCTGCAGCAAATCTTGGACAAGCAACTGGATGAGCCGAAAGAAGTCACATCAGTGTAAGGGAAAGGAGCCACTTGTTTGGCCCTTCAGAAGAAAAGTAGGAAGCACAAGTACTTACATGAAACTTTCTCCATGTCAGGGAGGGCTAGAGGCTCGGCTGCCCTGCGGTGGGACGGAAAAGAACCCCTGGGCACTCAGGTGCAGGGACCTTGCCCTGGTCCCACTTCACTAGCTGTTGGGAGGGTCCCCGTCAGTCCCGTGTGCCCCCACCCTGGTCCTCTCCGTCTCTCGGGATCTGATGCCTGCTTTCTCACCTTTCCCTTTGGCTGCTGTTTTGTGATCTCCCCATCAAGTTAGCCCCCCTCCTCGGAGACTGCCCTCAGCTTTGTTTCCTGACATCACAGTTCAAGCGTGAGCAACACCAGCATTCTGCTTGTGATGTCAGCAGGGCAAATGGTGTGCCACTGGACTTGTGGTGCTGATGTGTTCTGTCTCTCCATGGGTGATCCTTTACTCCAGAGCCTTCACCCCAGGAGGCAGAGTTGCTGCTGCACCTCAGGCTGCTTGCAGTGGACCTAAGGGATTCACATCACCACCCAGAGAGGAAAGTGGCATCTAAGCGGCAGTAGGATCTTGGGCAACTCCCTTCATCTCTCTGGACCATGGTTCTTGTGAATCGACAGCGTTGTTACAGGAGATGATATTTCAAAGCCCTTCTTCGTCTAAAGTTGAATGATCAACATTATCTGATTGGTGATCCTAAAGATTGTTGCTTCCACTCTGGTTCTGGTTCTCAGAAGAAAAAAAGGGATGAGTGAAGTAGAAGGGAGATTGTCATGTCTCTATAATTGCTTCTTTGTCAGTTTCCGTTTCCCATTGTCCCCCATCCAACAGGACAAATGTCCTGAAAACTGGCAGTAGATCACTGTCTTGCTCCAATACACTAGCGTAGCCGTTTGTTCTATAGAAATGGAGGGAGGGGATCCCTGGATGGCTGAGCGGTTTAGTGCCTGCCTTTGGCCCAGGGCGTGGTCCTGGAGTCCCAGGATCAAGTTGCATGTCGGGCTCCCTGCATGGAGCCTGCTTCTCCCTCTGCCTGTGTCTCTGCCTCTCTCTCTCTCTGTGTCTCTCATGAATAAATAAATAAAATCTTAAAAAAAAAAAAAAGAAAAGAAATGGAGGGAGAAGGCATTTCTTTCTCATTTTCCCATCTCAGAGGAAAAATTTTCAACATTTTTCCATTAAGTGTGATGTCTGCTCTAGGTAGAGAACTGTATCTGATTATGCAGACTCCCCTTTTCTTCCTGGTTTGCTAAGTGTATACCTGGAATGGATATTGACTTTTTTTTTTAAAGACTTTATTTATTTATTCATGAGAGAGAGAGAGAGACAGAGGCAGAGACACAGGCAGAGGGAGAAGCAGGCTCCATGCAGGGAGCCCAATGTGCAACTTGATCCTGGGACTCCAGGTTCATGCCCTGGTCCAAAGGCAGGCGCCAAACTGCTGAGCCACCCAGAGATCCCTGGATATTGACTTTTATCTAATTTTTCCTCTGCATCTTTTGAAATGATCATAAGCATTGCCTCTTTTATTCTGCTAATGTAGCGATTTTATACTTAACTGATTTTCATTCTTCTAACCAACCTTGCATTCTGGAATGAACTCTACTTGTTTGTGACGTGTTATGCTTTATTTTTTTAAATATTTTTTTTTAATTTATTTATGATAGTCACAGAGAGAGAGAGGGGGGGGGCAGAGACACAGGCAGAGGGAGAAGCAGGCTCCATGCACCGGGAGCCCGACGTGGGATTCGATCCCGGGTCTCCAGGATCGCGCCCTGGGCCAAAGGCAGGCGCCAAACCGCTGCGCCACCCAGGGATCCCTATTTTTTTAAATATTTTATTTATTCATGAGAGACACAGAGGTAGAGAGAGAGAGGCAGAGACACAGGCAGAGGGAGAATCAGGCCCCACGCAGGAAGCCCGACGCGGGACTCGATCCTGGGGATCACTCTCTGGGCCAAAGGCGGCGCTAAACTGCTGAGCCACCTGGGCTGCCCACGTGTTATGCTTTTTATATATGCTGGATTCAATTTTTTTTTTTAAGATTTTATTTATTTATTCATGAGAGACACACACACAGAGAGAGGCAGAGACACAGGCAGAGGGAGAAGCAGGCCCCATGCAGGGAGCCCGACGTGGGACTCCATCCCGGGGACCCCAGGATCACACCCTGGGCTGAAGGCAGCACTAAACCCCTGAGCCACCCAGGGATCCCCTGGATTCAATTTGTTAATATTGTCTTAGGATTTTTTTTTTAATTTTTATTTATTTATGATAGTCACAGAGAGAGAGAGGCAGAGACACAGGCAGAGGGAGAAGCAGGCTCCATGCACGGGAAGCCCGATGTGGGATTCGATCCCAGGTCTCCAGGATCGCGCCCTGGGCCAAAGGCAGGCACCAAACCGCTGCGCCACCCAGGGATCCAATGTCTTAGGATTTTTGATTCTGCGTTCATGAGAGAAATTGGCCTGGAATCTTCCTTTGATGTAATGCCTGGTCAAGTTTTGATGTTAAGGTATGCTAGCTTCATAAACTGAGTTAGGAGTGTTCTTTATCACTTATTTGAAAGATTAAGATTGATATTATTTCTTCCTTGAATGTATGGCAGAATTTGGTGGCAAAGCCACCTAGGCCCTGAGTGTTTTTTGTGGAAGGGTTATTAATTAAATACTCAGTATCTCTTAGAGATTTAGAATTATTCATATTGTCTGTTTGTTCTTGTATCCATTTTGCTAAGTGGTGCTTTCCTAGCAATTTGTCCATTTTATCTAAATTTTCAAATTCTTTTGGTGTAAAGTTATTCATAACATCCACTTATAATTATTACCCTAATACAAAACTTGCACCTTAACCACTTTTGTGTACAATTCAGTGGGTATTAAGTATATTCACAATGTATAGTGATATAGTCATATAGATAGTGATCTACATCTAAAAATTTTTCATCACCCTTAATAGAAATTTTGTGACCCTTAAGCAATAATTCCGCTGCCCCCTCCCTCCCGCCCAAATAACTTATCTTTCTCTCTTTATGAATATGCTTATTTTGTATGACTGAAATCATATGATAGTTGTCCTTTTGAGTCTTATTTCACTTAATGTTTTCAAGTTTCATCCATGTTATACCATGTATCAGAATTCCTGTTTATGGCTGGATAATATTCCACTATACCACATTTTGTTTGTTCATCTGTTGTTGGACACTTGGGTTGCTTCTGCCTTTTGGTTATCATGAATAATGCTGTGAACACGGGTGCATAGATATCTGAGTCCCTGATTTCAATTCCTTTGGGTATCTACCTTATATAAGGCACTTATAATCATTATAAAGTGTGTGGGGTGTGTATTTGTGTCTCCTTTTTACATTCCAGATACAATTTGTATTTTTTTTTCTTGATGAGTCTCATCATTCAGAGTTTGTCCATTTTACTAATCTTTCTAAAGAATCAGCTCTTGGTTTTGAGTTTGTATTGTGGGTTTGTCTTCCATTTCTTTGATTTCTGCTCTTTTCTTTATTATTTCTTTTCTGTTACTTTCTTGGGTTGAACTTGCTGTTCTAAGTTCTTGAGATGTTTATATAATGATTTTTAGCCTTTCTTCCTTTGTTAAATACTTTCCCCCTTTATTATTATTATTTTTAGATTTATTTATTTGTTTTAGAGAGCACAGGGGAAATACAGAGGGGGAGGAAGAGAGATAAGCAGAATCTGTGCTGAGTACAGGGCTCGATCCCAGGATCCTGGGAACATGATCTGAGCTTAAATCGAGAATAAGATGCTCAACTAAGCCACCCAGGTACCCTGCCCATTTCTCCTTTTACTTCTATTAGTTTTGGGGCTAGATCATTAGATGTACACAAATTTATAATCATTGTTTTTCTGCTGAATTGTGGTTTTACCATTACTGTTTTTTTTTAAAAGATTTTATTTATTTATTCACGATAGACACACACAGAGAGAGAGAGAGAGACGCAGAGACACGGGAGGCAGAGGGAGAAGCAGGCTCCATGCAGGGAGCCCAACGCGGAACTCGATCCCAGGACTTCAGGATCGCACCCTGGGCCAAAGGCAGGCACTAAACCGCTGAGCCACCCAGGGATCCCCCCCATTACTGTTTTTTATTATTCAGTTTTCTCCTTCCTATTATCTTGGTGGTTATACTTTTTTATCCCTCCCCCTTTTTTGGTAAGCTCTATGCAAGTTTGAGAGCCACATCTTCTACTGACTAAGCTAGCCAGGCACCCTGGTTATACGTATTTTTAAATTTATTTATAGAAGATTTTATTATTTATTTAACAGAGAGGTGGGAGGGGCAGAAGAGAGAATGAAGCCCACTGGCCACTGAGCAGGGGGTTTTGTGTTTTTTTTTCTTTTAAGATTTTATTTATTTATTCATGAGAGAGAGAGAGAGAGAGAGGCAGAGACACAAGGCAGAGGGAGAAGCAGCCTCCATGCAGGGAGCCCGACGTGGGACTCCATCACTGGTCTCCAGGATCACGCTCTGGGCTGAAGGCGGCGCTAAACTACTGAGCCACCCGGGCTACACACCCCTATAGCTTTTTAATTATTTTTTTTTTAGGTAGTTACCTGAGAAATTGTAATGTGCATGTATGCCTTGTCAAAGTCTAATATAAAGCATTATTTTTATCTTTTCTTAGATATAAGGCAAACCCTTAGAATATATTTATTTATTTTAAATATTTTATTTATCCATTTGACAGAGAGAGAGCAAGTGTGCACAAGCAGGGGGAGCGGGAGAGGGAGAGGGAGAAGTAGGCTCCCCCACTGAGCAGGGAGCCTGATGTGAGGCTTGATCCCAGGATCCTGAGATCATGACCCAAGCCAAAGGCAGATGCTTAACCAACTGAGCCACCCAGGCACACCTATTTATTTATTTTAAATATTTTATTTATTTATGTGAAAAAGAGAAAGAAAGAGAGCTTGAGCAGGGGGAGGGGCAGAGGAATAGGGAAAGGGAGAAGCAGATTCCCTACTGAGGGTGGAGCCTGACTGGGGTTGATTCCAGAACCTTGAGATCATGACCTGAGCCAAAGTCAAATGCCTAATCAACT